CACGCACCCCCTGCACCCCTCGACGCAGCGACCCCCCTTCAAGGAGCAACACCCTCTGCATTCGGCACACGAGCACCGGCTGCGGCGCTCCTCGCACTCGCTGGACGGCGAGCTGGATGGCCCTCAGCCCAACTCCATCGCGCTGCAGATGAGCTACCCCCTCGTCAACGTGCCCCCGCCCCCGCTGCAGGTAAGCTCTCACCTCTCACTCGCTCCTCTCGTCTGTCTCTCTCCCGCCAGAACACACTAATACATACATAGATAGTTAAATAGACCTTCCTGTAACATTTGTTAACCTAGAGTTAGAATAGAATTTGTTCATTTACATTAAATTGACTATTAGAAGCACTTGTGCAATGTATGAACTCTTAATTGATATCACAAGGTGAAGTGAATACGGACTATTCAAATATTTCTTATCGATTTTTTTCTTTCTTAGATGGTGTTCAATCTTGTTTACATTTTACGCTAAATGTTTCGCCAAAAAGCTTCTTACAATTTAATTTCGCAATTACAGCTTTAAATGTGCAAAACAACAACAAAATTGTTTATATCTATTATTTTAAATAAGGTTTTATTTATTATTTTACAATACGTACTTTATGTAATTTTTTCAAGAAAATAGGACTAAAAAATTCAAGTAATAATAATTTACAGGGATGCATGTGGTTCCATGATAACATTCTAAAACAATAGATTCTCTATACATTTTGTCCTTTGTCTCGCCTATAAATATGTTTGTGAGTGTCCTATAAATGCAACTAACAATAAGTTATAATGAAATTAAATCATATATGAATAGTTTAAGCTATGTTATGTCAGCTATGACATGTCACATGTGACACACGAGTGCTGTTGCAGACGGACAGTCGCGGCGCGCCAGTGTTGCACGCACGCAGCCAGTCCTCGCCGGAACAGCTGGAGCATGATCTGTCCAGGAGTGAGTGTCAAAGACTCATTTGTTTTTTTCACTTATGATGATCATTGCTGACAAGTGGTTATGTTTCCAGCGAGCACGGAGGGCGGGGCGTGTCCGGAGCGCGCGTGGGAGCCGCCCGGCACGCCGCCCCCGCCCTACGCACACAATACCCAGGTAAATAATCATCAATAAATTAGTTATCTCTCTCACACGTATAGTGTTAGAGTAGGACAGTAGGTGATGCGAACAATTCATCAATAATTGTTTATTACAGCCGTGTGTGGACCCACAAAGAGCTATCATATCGATGGAAGAAGATGACCCGCCGACATCAGTAAGTAATACAAATATCAAATTGATTCATTTAATGCACAAAAAGTTTTTCTTGCTTGTGAAAGAAAGGCGAACAAAGTCTTGACGTTACTTTAAAATATATATTTTTTATTTATGATACTATGGTATTAATGACAGTTACGATAATAAAATATATTTTTATATGTGTCATGATGTATATTGCAGGTGAATTCAAGTAGTTCTGGCCTGTTCTCCAATCTCCGTTCAGTCAGAGATTCAAGAGCTAGGATGGCCGTCTTGCTCAACTGGCTCATCGGCGAGAGAAGGTCAGTTTGTAGAAGTAAACCATTAGAGTAATATCGCACAGAAATAAAGTATGTCACCGCCTGTAGCAGTTTTTACGGTTTTTACCCGAAATGTCATAGAGAAAAATTAGTCGGATTTTTAATCGTTCGTGATATGCTATGTGCAGATGTCCGTACGCGTGGCTGGTGCTGGTGCTGACGGAGCAGTTCCGCACCGCCGCCGTGCCCGCCGCCACGCTGCGCCGCTGGGCATACGAGATACAGTCCTCCTTCCTCATGCCGCACGCGGTAACCACGCCCCCCTCGCCCCGCCCCTCGCTCACACGCTCCGCCCACACACACACACACACACAGCTGTACGATACGTGTGCATGTTGCAGGTGTTGCAGCTGAATGGTGTGGACGAGCACATGGCCAATGAGATAGATCACGTCTTGTTATACGGTAAGTGCCGATATCACATGTACTTTAACTGCATTAGTTAACCTTTCATTCATTTTAGTCTCCTTTACTTCCGTAAAGGATGGGATTTGACGTAGGAGGATATGCATAGGAAGGGTTAATATACTCTCTGTGAATCTTCTCCCTCGTCGATTAAAGGTTCGCATACACATCTGCAATTACGGAGGTCTATGGGCGGCAGTCGCTTTGCAGTTCCGGCAAATCCAAATGGCCGGCATCATTAACAAAAACTTAAAACCGAGTATTCTATTTCTTTAGCAGTCATTATTGTGATTTTGAACAATTAAAATAATAATGTATTTGATATTATCAGAGCATCACAAGGAGGAGGTGCTGCGCAATGTGTTCCGCAAGGCGCGCGCCAAGGCCAAGGAGGAGCTGGCGGCGCAGCTGCGCGACTTCCAGCTCAAGCGGCAGGTCGGGCTCGGCGCACTCTACGGCCCTGACGATGCCGTGCTCGACAAGTGCACCGTGGACAAGGCGCAGGTACCTTCACCTGAATACACCGCTCACAAATATATCATATGTCAAAAAAACATGTATCAGAAAAGAAGCACAAAATTCGTTCTTTAACTAAAACGAACACGCATATAGCAAACTCTAATCAGGTAAACACTTTGATAACTGTCGACTCACTTAAAAAGTTGACTTTTATAAAAAATATCTGTAGGAAAACGATTGCATATTGTTTATTTTATATAAACCAGATTGAAGAGAAGTAAACTGGTTTACGCTAGACATGAACCGGTTAGATTGTTGTATGTGGTGCGCAGGAGCAGGTGGTGGTGGAGCGGCTGCTGTACGAGGTGATCCGCGCGGTGTGCAGCGAGGGCGCGGTGGGGGGTGCGGGTGGTGGTGGTGGTGGGTGCGCGCCCCCCTTGCCGGGCGGGTCGTCCCCCCCCGCGCAGCGCGCCCTGCTGGCCGCGCTCGCAGCTGCAGCCTGCAGCATGGACTGCAGGTCTCACTGCACTATATACACATCCACACATCTATACATACGCATTCTAATATAATTCGACAATATTTTAATTTTTTGGCTTTGTCCTTATTTTCTGTCTGGCAGAGTGATGTTTTATTGTAACGTAATCTCTATATATACAACCAGTTAACATTTAGTGAGACATTTACCTGTTTGTATCAGTCAGTGTCGCGTCCTCGACGTTTAATGTCCTTATTATGTGTATTGTAAACTTGTGTAGTTAGATATTGTAATCTTACAGTTTCCATTCCATTTGAAACATGCAAAAATACTTTCCCAATAATGACAAATGCACGGGCTAACTAAACTTTCGCATCTATAAAATTAGTAAGATATTTTAATAAGATTTAATCTTATCAAATCATTTCTAATAGTTTGTTTTAATATGAAAATGCAGACATGTTTGGTAGACGGTACTATGTCTAGAAGTAAAGTGTGTAAATGTGAATGAATCAGTTTAGTGCAGTAAGGGAGTGCCGGATATCTATATGTCTGATATGTTATCACGCTAACTCACACAATATTGTACATTCATATGTCGCGAATACTATGACTTGCTTTGCAACGTTGAATAGACTCGCGACTAGTGTAGTTGTTTTTTTTTTTTTATTTAAATATATTGGTCTGTACAGTCTAAGATATTCTAGAATTAATTAAAAATAAATTCATAAAATGCTTTATAATATACATAGATGTATTTGTTAGTTGTGAAGATGTATAACACAAGTGATGAACAAAAGTTTGTGATGATGATGAATATGAAAGAGATAAGTGAAGAAGAGGCGAGAGAAGTGAGAAAGAGATGGTGGCACTCACCTAAGACAAGGAAGGGGAAGCTTACGAAGATGTTTGTATATATAAGTGTAGTGATGTGTGCACGTGTGTAATGTGTGCACGTGTGTAACGTGTGTGCACGTGTGTAATGTGTGCACGTGTGTAATGTGTGCACGTGTGTAACGTGTGTGCACGTGTGTAATGTGTGCACGTGTGTAATGTGTGCACGTGTGTAACGTGTGCAGGCCGGCGGCGGTGGCGGCGGCGGGGCAGGCCGCGGGCGCGCGCGAGTCCTTCCTGCTGCGGGACAAGCTGTACAAGCAGCGCCTCAAGCACATCGCCAAGCAACGCCCGCAGCCGGTATCTACTCACTCGCATACTTAATATCCAACACTTTTTACACTCTCCATGCAGGGGGATGAAGGAAAGGGAATATTGATCCTTAATTGTTACGTTGTGTATATTTCCCCGAACAAATTAGTAAACCCTTAACAATATTACACAACATGGTTATGGCAGGTGGCAAACAAACAAGAGGCCACCTGAATTCGCCGAAATAGCGAAGTGACCGCTGCCCATAGATATCCACAATTGCAGATTTGTAGTGTAGATTCCTTATAAAAAAAAAATGAAGACTAGAGTGAGCTTACATGTGACTATATCTATATGTGTGTGTATGTGTGTGCAGTACGTGGTGCGCGGACACCAGCTGCAGCTGCAGGCGCTGACGTCGGTGGCGCACTGCCACCACTGCGACCTCGTCATCTGGGGCCTCGCGCCGCAAGCCTACGTCTGCGCCAGTCTGTATCTGTGTGCTGTGTGTTGTGTGCTGTGTGTGCACGTGCTGTGTGTGCACGTGTACATGTGTGTACATGTGTGTACGTGTGTGCAGACTGCAAGCTGCGCGTGCACCGCGAGTGCGGCAAGGCGGTGGAGGAGGGCTGCGTGCTGGACGGCGAGGCGCACAACAACAGGATCTCGCGCTTCATGGAGCGCATACATCCCAACAACATGCCCGGTCAGCAACATACACACTCTATATTGTAAAAATCAAACATGCAGTTAACTTTATAGTCTTTCACCCATTATATTTTATATGTTACCTTTAAAATTGTGCATCTTAACTTATTTGTTAAAGTTTACTTTAAAAACTTCATTAAATTTAATTTCGATTTAAAAATAGTATATTGGTCGTATTTTTCGTATCAACGCCATCTATTGAGAAAAAATACAACTTACTTAAATTTTCTACATCTCTCGATTTACACAATTTAATATTTTTAGTAATACTCAAAGTTATAATAACAAAACAATGACGTGCTGCAGGTCAGGACACAGCAGATAAGAAGTCTCGCAAGGCATCCGCAAACTCACACTTTCTCAACGGTAAGTTCAACTGATATATGTCCATTTTGAACTGCAACTGTGCTCCCTGTATGTGGATTGTTATATAAAATATTGTTGTTTGTTGCAGTGGAGCGGAGCTTCAGGAAAATGGAGGACGAGACCACCTGGGAGCAGACTCTCACGCCCGCGCCCCTCATAGGTCAGTGCTTTTGAACTCGTATGTCGTTTTGTATGTTCCTTTGCAGGTATTTCATATGAGAAACAAAGCTATTTTCAAATATATAGATCGCTAAAATAAGTTTATCTATACATTTTATTTGTTCTTTTATGTATGGGTTCAGTAATATTTGACATCGCAACAATATTACTATGTTGGAAAATATCCCAAGTTAGCGATCCGGTGTCTCTCACCATGTTATGGAGAGACAGAGATGTAACATCTTGTAGGATTTACTAGATGTGTCTAGAACGTAGTTGTTCAACTCAATCAGGATTGTGGAATAAAATATACAATGAGGTAAATTACATTCTGAAAATGTTTCCAGGGATACAAAACAATTGCGCTTAATTAAAAGTTATCGTACAAAAATATCATCATCAACGGCATTCTGTTTTAAATCTTGAGAATTTAATTGTTTATTAAAAATTTCTGTTTTAGTTTAGTTTATTTTTTTAAACTTTATATACATAAATCTTAAGAAAAAGATATGTAGAGTGTTACAAATATAAACCTATATTTTCTTATTACTTTATCAAAGATCTTTTTCTGTATTTTTATATCTCTTCCAGTCATCGTACATCTTGTAACAAACGACCAATTTCCATTGACCCCTGTGTCACGGAACGATTGATTTACTTCTATAGAATATTCTATGTTCATAGTAAAATGTAGGGGTCATGGTGTACCGGCCAGTCGACTAAACACCGTCCTATTAATAGTAGGCAGTTAATTGTTTAGGAGCGCGCGGCGCGGACGGTGGCAACTCTGGTATGTCTCATACCGGAAATGTTTCGAGATCATTATGTTATGAAATGGAAAACGATTTTTAACCAAAAGTTTAACAGTTAAAATATGTACGAAAACATATTGTCTTCTCACTCTGTCAATAATATAAGAGGAGGAAAGAGTCGAACGTAACTTCGATACTTTAAAGAGACAAAATACTACGTTTAAGATTTCTATGGAAAATAACTATTGCAGTTTTTTCTGTGACTCACTTTAAAGCTCTATTTCAACTTGTAGTATATTTATTTTATAGGAGAATATCAATGAATGTTTCATTTGTGAATGTTTTCGTTGAGTTCTCACATCCAGAATCAGTAGTGGGTAAACATTGCAAGAGTTACGTGCACTGCATTCCTGCCGACTGCCGACTGCCGACTGCAGATGTGTGGGCGAATGTCTTCATAATATTTACTCACAGCTTTCTAATACATTTACATTAGTTTTCCGTTACATTTGTTTATTGTCGGTTGCCTTCATTCTATTGCGGATATTGAATTTAACATCTGGATAGCTTACATACTAACCTTGTCATCGCTTTTCTTTGCATCTCCATTCCAGAATACTAATATACCAAGATATGTTCTCTCTTGTTATTCATTCATTCCATATTTAATTACTAGCTGTCGGCCGCGACTCTGTCCGCGCGGAATTTATTACCTAATTAGTAGATGAAGTGTTCTTCCAGTCTATGTTCTAAATCCATGTCCAATTTCAGCCGAGTTACCTTCTAACAAACATCCATCCATCAAAACATTCGCATTCATAATATTAGTAAGAAGTAAGACTGTTACGTACTCAAACAGAAAGTAATAATGTAATGCAACTCTATGATTATATTATAAGTAGATAGAAATTACAATATTTGTATCAATTTACGTTTTATAAAGCTCTGTTAATATTTAGTAATAATAACAATAATAACAGTGTAATAAATAATATAAACAAAGCTAGGATATGCACGTGTCAGGTTTGTATGTACAAGTGCCGGGCGGGCGGGCGGCGCGGACGGTCGTGTCCGCTGAAACACGACGCGCGTTACAGTACTACTTAAATCGTGTGTGTTTTGCTCAAAGTTTTTGTATTATTGTCACTTATGTTTTTATTGGAATGTGTGTTGTTTTAGCAATACTAAACGTGTGATTATGTGAATCTGAAAATTTTCAATTTGATTTTTTTTTCTCTCTTATAAACAATAATTATGTTTATGTGTTATTCTGTTTATATAATTATATTATTTTAGCTCCATATGCGTATTTAAATAAGAGTAGGTAATGAAAACTGTCGTTTGTATTTTCTTTGATTGAATTATCGTATATAATGACTAAACAGATTGAAATTTTGTTGATATGTTCAAAGTAAAGTCAGAATTAATGATAAAATCATTCGCTTTTTGATCGCGTTCAAATGTAAATATGCGGTAGATTAAATTTTTTTTTCAGACAAATCTTCCGCATTTTCCAATAAATATCTGAATATTTTTTATGATAGTTCAGTGGCTGAGAATCTGCTTATAATTTCAAGGTCAAGGTTTAATTCAGAAAATACTCCGAATTTCCGAATCTATATCTCAGATTTTTTTTTACTTTTTCCATTACTGTGAGAAACGCGATGAAGTGGTTTCTTTAACAGCTTAGAATATTTAACTAAACAATTATTAATAGTAATATGACACATAGTTATTGTGTAGACGACAGGATATATGATGCGGTGGTGACAGGTTCAGAACACATCGCCCACGCGCCCTGACTCAATGTCAGCAACATATATACATAGTATTTGTTATATTTTGAAATAATTACCTCATGTAGTTTAAACTTTTAGTTTAAATATCACAATTTAAACAATAATAAGTTAGCAGAACTTTTTACGCTATGAAAATCGACGATTCCCACTGATACAACAGTCGGCATCCCTCTCGATCTATTAGAAAAAAAACAGAGACAGCTATATGTTTCAAATGCCATGCTTTCGGCACTGAAATTTCCCCGTACATATAAAATTCGATGTTCTATTTGTCTTATAGTTATTTCCTTGACATTTGCAGTTTTATTAATTTGACATTTAATTAGAAATGTCCCCGACAATAATGTTGTGAGCTGACATTTCATGCACTTTCTTTGTACAGATGGACAACACAGGAAATATATTGACATAACATTTGACATTTTCACTCTGTAAAGGTCTCGCGTGAATTTTATAAAACTCATAGTATTATATTTCTTATAGTATAAATGTTTGGAAGGTTTGTTAAAAGGTATCACGAGAACAGATAGATGTAGAACATAGTCAAGAAGAACACATAGGTTACTAAATAGTTTTTTAATAGCGCGCAGGCGGAATCGTGGGTGACAGCTAGTTAGAAATATAGAATAGCGTATTAATCAATTCATATTTCAAATCTCATCTATTTAAAGCACCATAATCCGTTTATTTAAAACGATTTGTTCGTTCTTCAGAAGTTAGAGTCCAAGTTAATGTGTAGAGTTACGATCAAGTGCTACGATTGTCCGTCGCTACGAAACACCTGAGCGTAGCACCTTACAAAGTTTTGATGTGAGCTTTAATAGACAGCTGCAAGAAATTATAAGCCTGTACTTTTGTTTTTGGTAATAACCTCATAAATGTACCTAGTTTAAAAAGCATCGCAAAAAACTATACGATCCTGCGCCTTTATAGTTAAGCGTTAAACCTCGCTAAAAATATTCAGTTTTATATAGATTAATCTGAAGATACATTTTTTACGATAGTAATGAAATAAAACGCGGTGACTGTCTACAAATACGACATTTTGTAGAGACAAATAAAAAAGCAAATAATTCCGTCTCGTAATAATCCATTAGCATACCGGAACGGGAGATTTATTGCAAGAACGGGACATGCGGAGGTCAAGGTTCGAGTCCGGAGGATAAACGTGTGACCCAATTGCTTCGATACCCCAACTTGTGCATAAATATGTCGTTTTCGGAATTGAAAGTGACATTTTTATTTACATAAGTGTTTGTGACTCATAATGCAATTAGTGATAATAAAAAAAAACACTTTGCCCCGTCTGATGCATGACAAAGCTAACTCACTCGTTGGTTTTAAATATATTGCTATCTCTGTATTTTCAAAGAGAATGACAGTGATGACAATATGTTTTCGTTTAAGTTTGTCATCAGTGGAAACTTTAATTCATAGTTGTAAATTTTTGTTACGTGAGGATTTTTTAGAGTTAATCTTAAAAGACCGATAACGCTCTTAAAAACTATGCCATTTTGGCAATTGTATGTTCTTGCGTGTTGTGACAGTTTTTCAACTGTTCCAAATTTAAATTTTCAAATAATTGAGCACATTCCATTAGCGTTAGTTTTGGCGCGAGAAAAGCTGACGAGATTATTTCAGTTTTTTAGTGTAAAAATATTTGACCGTTTTTATAAGATGACCTTCACATACTGTTGTTGTCTCATTTCTTTTAATTTTCTATCTCATAAACATTACCTTATATTCAAAACATATTTTTATTTCCTAAATATTTATGATATTTAAGTTATCCGGATGCTTCACAAGACTTGTTTTATGTTGGTATTTGTGATCGGTACATCAAAGGTTTTTTCTAACAAAAAATATTGTTGCGAAATTGTAATAGATTCTTGAATATTCTTTATCATTTAGATGTAAGATATAGTTACAGATACAATAATATCGCTTGTATGAAATTGTATTGACCCATTTATTTATATAAGAGAGTTGCCGACGATTGGGTGGTCCGAACGCATCGGGACAAGTTGTGGCAAATTTCCGAGAAGTGTTAACACTCGCTTGTATGATCAATGTCCTATATGATGTCATTTTACTTGCTCTATTCTATTTGATATACTCTATTATATATATTATACTTACGTATTTATTTTTAAAATACTATATTAAACACTTGCTTGGGTACTAATACTATTTTTTAATTTCCTTATGAAAAAATAAAAGTAGACGTAATATTCTGTGCAAGTAAAGAAGGTCAGAAATACAAAAACAAGTTATATTTCTATCAATATAATTACAAAATAAGAAAGCAGTAAAGTACATCACGTCGCCACCCACCGCAGGGGGTGGGTAGTGACAAATAGCTTTGTTACGCAGTTTGTGCACGCCCTTTCCCCTACCCCGAAGTTACAGCGCAAGATAAATGACATAGTGCTTAGAGTTTTAGAGTAAAG